GGTCCTGGGCTATCTTCACCACCTTGGCTGTGTTTGAGCCCCTCGCTGCAGCCCCTGGGCTAGCCCATCTCCTGGAGGGGCTTCCTCTTGGCGCTGACCCACTTACTTTACCCAGCAGGACCACCTTTCATCTAGCTCGTTTGATGGTGTGTCCAGAGGCACCACGTCTGGCCATCTCCGTTTGGGAAAGCGGCTGGCTGACAGGTGCAGGGAATGTGAGACGCTGGGATCCGTCACTGTGTCACCCCACTCCGGAGGTCAAGCAGGATAGGAAACAGTCGCTGTTTCCAGAGGCCTCCTGTCCTGGTAAAGCTGCCCCACAGTGCAGGCAGGGTCCTAGGCAGGACCGAGAGTGCTCGCTTTATAAATAACTGCAGAGGCTGGCGCAGGAGGGGAGCCAGAGGCTGTTGGGCCTTTAGCTCTGAGCAGTTGGGGCCTGTGGTCTAGCACCTTCTGCGGGAGGGGGAGGGGGGAGCAGGCGGCCGGTCAGAGACGTCTAGCTGCCCAACCAAGACCATGCTCTGTCTTTCCAGGTGATGCCCTCCCGCTGAGGAAGCCCTGCAGGCACCTCGAGGAAGGGACCCCACCCCTGCCCACTCAACCACCATGAATACCTCCGTCCCGCCCGCCGTCAGCCCCAACATCACCATCCTGGCCCCGGGAAAGGGTCCCTGGCAAATGGCCTTCCTTGGCATCACCACGGGCCTCTTGTCCCTGGCCACGGTGACGGGCAACCTGTTGGTGCTCATCTCCTTCAAGGTCAACACGGAGCTCAAGACGGTCAACAACTACTTCCTGCTGAGCCTGGCCTGCGCTGACCTCATCATCGGCACCTTCTCTATGAACCTGTACACCACCTACCTGCTCATGGGCCACTGGGCGCTGGGCACGCTGGCCTGCGACCTCTGGCTGGCCCTGGACTACGTGGCCAGCAATGCCTCGGTCATGAACCTGCTGCTCATCAGCTTCGACCGCTACTTCTCCGTGACCCGGCCGCTGAGCTACCGAGCCAAGCGCACGCCCCGCAGGGCGGCCCTCATGATCGGCCTGGCCTGGCTGGTCTCCTTCGTCCTCTGGGCCCCCGCCATCCTCTTCTGGCAGTACCTGGTCGGGGAGCGGACGGTGAAGGCCGGGCAGTGCTACATCCAGTTCCTCTCCCAGCCCATCATTACCTTTGGCACGGCCATGGCCGCCTTCTACCTCCCAGTCACGGTCATGTGCACGCTCTACTGGCGCATCTACCGCGAGACGGAGAACCGGGCTCGGGAGCTGGCCGCCCTGCAGGGCTCCGAGACGCCGGGCAAGGGGGGCGGCAGCAGCAGCAGCT